AGCATTTCTTTTCTTAGGCTTCTAAGTTTGCGCGTTTTGTTCATAAAGGAGGACACTAGCTCTATGGCCCAAATCCAGTAAGACTTTCTTATGGGTTTGCCTTTAGGTCCGCCTCTAACTCTTATTGCTCTTATGTACTCCATTATGACTCTTAGGTAGAATTCTGTATTCTTCTTATCGGTCATGTAATGGACGTAGCTAGCGAGCACACCATTGATGCCTTTTATGTTTGTCAATTTAGCTGCATCACTTTCAGCTATTCTCATAGCTAAAGCAGGGGTACAGGGTTGATCCACCTCTTCGCCTTCCTCTACTTCGGTTTTATTGGGAAGATCTAGCGAATCATTACAGACCAAATGAGGTTTGGTATGAAGGGGTTCAGTGGGAAATAAAGATTCTGACTCAGGTCCAGAATTCATTAACTCCTCCGGGATTTCTTGAGGAACCTCTTCAGGGTCCTCTTCAGGATCCTCATCCTCTGGCTCATATTCTGGAATTGCATTATCCATGTATGAGTATTCCAATGAATCATCTTGGATATTTTCAGTGCTACTAGAAGCCTCTTGCTTCATTTTCACCTAGAACAAAATAATTTAAATTATTCTGAATATTCTGGAATTTATTTCCGCATGAAAATACCAGAAAATACACTGAAAATACTCACAAATAGATCCTTAATTGTCTCCAAAATTATCAAATTATATACCAAAATAAAGATCCTGATTTTAGGGATTTTTAGAGACAAACTACACCTCAAACGGACCCTCCACGCGCCTACACGCGCCCCTAGAAGGAAAAATTAGCGGAAAACTGGGAAAAATATTTTCCCACTCGCCCTGTCGGCGCGTGTACTTCACGCGCCACCATGCAGCCTGCCTCCGGCGACACGCGCCGTACCTGTGGCTTCTACGCGCCACCACCTGTCAGGTGGTGGTCCCCACGTGCCAAGGTGGGGTGCCACGTGGCAGAACGCGCCACGTGGCGCTACTTGGTCAAAAAAATTTTTTTTTTAAATTCTCAGTTTTTTTTTAAAAGTATTTTGGGCCGGTTGGGTTTGGGTCCATTTCGGCCCAACCGGTTCTCTTCAAATTTTTTTTTTTTAAAATTTTTTTGGTCTGGGCTGGATCCTGCCTCTAGCCCAGTACACCCTTTCCTTTTTTTTTTTTTGTCTAGGCTGGATCCTACGTCCAGCCCAGTAAATACCCTTTTTTTTTTTTAACAGGAGGGGCCAAAACGACGCTGTTTTGGCCCCTGGAGGTCTCCTTCAACCTCCAGCCGGGTCGTCTTGACCCGGCTTCTGCAACCGGGTCGGGTCCGACGGACCCGTCGGACCCGGTTTCTTCTCTCCTCCGTATCTTCGCCGTCCGGTGTCCGTTTTTAGTGTACTTTATATCATTTTCTTCGTTTTTTCGAGCTCTACGCAATGGGATAAATTTTGAATCCAAAAAACTTCATTTCGAGACACCCAAAAAACGAAAACGTACGGCCAAAAATAAATACTGTATAAAACGATTTTCACAGAGGCAGAGAAGCAACCCAATATGTCTAAACATAAATATAAGACACAAAAACTATCATACTGAAGGTAAAATAGAGGATTTGCATAATTTATTGAAGCAAATCACAAGTTACTCAGACCGAACAATCAGAAAAAAATACTGATATGAAAACGCAGGCCACAGAGTCTACAGGAAATATCACATGCTCTGATACCAATGAAGGTTTTCGGGCATACCTGGAGTATGCAATAAAGTCAGGTTGCCACGCGGAGATCCGATCACGGGGACGGAGTCGGATTTAAGAGACACAGCAAATACACTGGAGGGGAGTTTGGAGAGACGGACAGAGCCTTGTGGAGGAGGAAAAAACGAATAAAATGCCTTCTACCCAAAACTGATCCCTTTTGATCAGTTTTGTAACTCCTCGTTTATTCAAATAAAAAACTGTCTCAAAACCGTCTCCTCTGCACAACCGTTCCCGCCTTTTGGCAAAATATAACAAAGGGCGAAAATTACAGTTAAGGACCCATGAGTTTTGCTATTTGCACTGGAGTCCCAAATGACATTGGGCTCGGGTCCAATCCACCAAGGGTGGACTGGCCCATTTTCCTACAGAATATAATGGAAGACTCATGGAATTCCTTCCGGACTTTTCCTTTCCATCATCTATGTTGTTAATAACCAATGAGAACAAATGTGATTAACTATAATTTAATAAAAAATGACAACAAATCAGCAAATCAATGACAAATAATCTGATTAAGTGGCACCCTAAACATGAACTATTTATTGCAGACTTCTTGCTATAAAGCCCAGTTTAATCTATTGTTTTCTCAATTAAAAAAAAAAAACTATCTTCTCAATTTAATGTCCTGCTATTGCTAACTTCACATTACAAACACCCCAAACATGAGCAATTTAGCATCATGTAGTGAAATTGATGCTTCTCTTCCATAATTAATATAAGTAATTTCACAGCAGAAAGCATTACATGCAAGGAAATCAAAATCTCCTAGAACCAAATTAAACACGATGCCTAAGATTAATAGGGAAGGTGGGCTTGAGATAAGGAAAAATTCAAAATTTATTCATCAAGTTATACGAATTGATATAATATATCAATAAAAAAAACTCCAACCATCTGTCTTCATTACATCACAAAATTTAAAGTATCTAGCTGCCTTTGGGTCAGCTATAACCAAATGAGATGCTACAAGTAACCAATACAAAAATGAAAATGTCAATGTTTTTGGCAACAAATTCCCAAGCTTGATTATCGATCACCTCTTACTTTCTAAAGGAGATAAAAATTAATTCAGTTAGAGAGAATTAACATCAGAATTAGCAGCATGATAAATGCAAATAATAGCATATTTTCAGCTCTCATGGTCTCAGTTTTAATTGTTGCAGCACAAGAACTTGCCCAAAATAAATAAGATTCTCCAGAGTTAATAAAGCACACATCAAATGTCAAGGTCTTAAAAAGAGAATTTTTCTTTGAACGGACCACATCACAAAAAACGACACTGGAGAAACAAGAGGGCGAGAATTAAGAAAAGCACCACTTGAATCAATTCATTCCCCAAAGAGGCACAAGTTGGCTCCAATAAGCTCTCAAAACTGGTGAATGATAGACCCAGTCTTTCTAATCAAAGCGCAAGTCTTAGAGGCCATACGTAGACTATGGAAGATAGAATGGAGAAGCTGGCCGGGGACGATAAGGTAACTGGCGGAGGGTGATGAGCAGCACTTTGGTGTGGGAGTGTGAAGGTCAAAGATGGGATTAGGTGGAAACTTGCTGGAGTTGAGAGAAAGGAGAAATGGGAATGGAGGTTGAAGAACAATGAAGAAGATATTGAAAACAAGCACCCCTCCCCGTTGCCCATCATTGTTGTCTTCTTCTTTGGCAAGCACCCCCTCTAACCTTTACCTTCTTCTCCAACGAGCAGTTGCGGGGATAGAGTTGGTAAGATTGTCGTCGGGGAGAGAGAGAGAGTGTGTGAGAAGGATGATGAAAAGGGGTGTTAGATTAAGGGCCTGTTTGGTTTGAGGGGAGGGGAGGGAGGGGTAGGGTAGGGTAGGGGAGGGGAGGGGAGGGAGGGGTGGGGGAGGGGAGGTTTCATCCTCTCCTTGTTTGGTTTGATTAAAAAGGAGGGGAGGGGAGGGCATTTAATGATCCCTTGTTTGGTTCAAGGAGGGGAGGAGAGGGATAGTAATAATCAATTTACCATTTTACCCTTACATATTAGTTTATGTTTTTTATTGATATATTATATAAATTAATTTACATCTTAATTTATATTATATAATTTAATAAAAATTCAGTCTTATCATGTTAATATGTGTATTAAAAAATTGGTATAGTAATTTTTTATTCTAATTAATATAATAATATATTTAAAATAATCAAATTAACAAATTTTATATGCTATAAGAAAAATGAAATTTTATTTTCTTTAGGCTATCTTTTTTTCCAGCTTTAAAATATATTTAATAAATAATATATTTATAAAAAACAATTAATTTTATAATATTATAATTTTTTATTTAAATATTTTTTATTTTTAAATAATTTTTATAATATATTTTTAATTATAATAATGTATATATTTTTTATTTTTTTTACTTAGGATAATATATTTTTATTTGAAATAAATATTATAATAATATATTTTATGGGTAGAAGTGGAATATTAAAAAAGCTATAAGGGTATAATGGTCCAAAATTTTGGCTCCCCTCCAAAAACCCCCAATTTGGAGGGGAGCCAAAATGGGGGGAGGGAGGGGAGGGGAGGGGACATTTTAGCTCCCATTCCCTCCAAAATTTTTAACCAAATGAGGGGAGGGGCTCATTTTCCCTCCCCTCCCCTTCCCTCCCCTCCAACCAAACACACCCTAAAGATAAAGGAGGGACAGTGTTGTAATTTAACAATATTTCTAAATCCCAATATAGTACCTGAATACTGATATAGTATTTATGAAGTCTGGAGTGCTGATTTGGGATTTTTATATTTTGAAGGTATTTATGTGGAATTCTTCCTTCTTCTTTTTTTGTTTTTTTTGGGCGGGGGGGAAGGTGAATTTAACCATCATGCCTTCATCCTTTCGTTGTCCTTGAAATTTGCAAACCCCTCGGGAACTTTCCAAAACACGTATTATACTCTGAAAGAAAGCACAGGGACTGAACCAGAAGCTTCCTCTTTATTCTTTGACAACTCTGTTTCAAAGAACATGAAAAATTTTCTCCAATCTTTGTCCAGTCCATCCATTAACAATCTGCATATGCAGATCCTTGAGTTTAATAGCTAGCACGGACTGGTCGTGTCATTTTCCTCCGAATAACTCTTTCTCTGAGTCTTGTATTTGGTGGCTGCACGAGCAATACAATTTCTTCACTTGTTGTCGGATTCTTTTGTCGTCTTATTTGACTAATTATTGTAGCTGTTGTATTTTCCTCCTCTTATTTTATTTTTCTTTTCTTTCTGCTGAAATTCATCCCTTTCTGTTCCTTAAACTACCCCATGATTTTCCCAAACTAGACAAACTTGTGTGCTTGTTCTTTTCTAATGGCGTATTCTTCTCAGTGTTCTGGGATAAAATATGATGTCTTTATCAGCTTCAGAGGCACAGACACTCGCCATGGTTTTCTTAGTCATTTGAGGAAGGAATTGCGGCAGAAGCAAATTGATGCCTATGTGGACGACAGACTTGAAAGTGGAGATCCAATATCACCGGCACTTTTAAACGCCATCAAAGAATCACTCATGTCATTGATCATATTTTCGAAGGATTATGCTTCTTCAAGGTGGTGCTTAGAAGAGCTGGTGCAGATTATTGAGTGTATGGAGAAGCAAAAACAGATTGTAATTCCCGTTTTCTATAACACAGATCCCTCAGATGTGAGGCATCAAAAAGGATCTTATGGAGATGCTTTTGTCAAACATGACAAAAATTACAAGGAAAAGGTGCCAATTTGGAAATCAGCTTTGAATAAAGCGGCTAACTTGTCTGGGTTTCATTCATCAAGTTACGAGTAAGTTCCTTTCCCTCAAGAGTTCTTGTTTCAATAAGCAGTGATGTCTCTGAATTTCATAATCTTGCTCTTTTCCTGTGGTTACAGGGACGAGGCTGAGCTTATAGAAAAAATTGCCAAGCGTTTGTCGACAAGGTTGAATATTATGTTCCAAAGTGACTTAACAGGCCTCGTTGGAATTGATGAAAGGATTGCAGATTTAGAATCACTAATGAACCAAGGCTCAAAAGATGTTCGAGTCATTGGAATTTGGGGTATGGGCGGTATGGGTAAGACAACTATCGCAACTGCAGTATTTAATCGATTCTGTTCTGAATATGAAGGATATTATTTTTTGGCAAATGTGAGAGAAGAATCAGAGAATCATGGGATTATCTATTTGAAGAATAAAATTCTTTCTATACTGCTCAAGGAAAATGATTTGCATATTGGTACACCAAATGGAATACCACCTTATGTTAAGAGAAGGCTTCTTCGAAAAAGAGTTCTTGTTGTTCTTGATGATATTAGTGATTCTGATCAACTGGAAAATTTAGTGGGAGCACTTGATTGCTTTGGATCGGGTAGCAGAATCATTATAACAACAAGGGATAGGCAAGTTCTAGCTAAAGGAGTTGATGAAATATACGAAGTTAAGCCTTTGATATTTGATGATGCTGCTCAACTTTTTATGTCAAATGCCTTTGGGAATAATTATCTTGACATGGAGTGGATTGAATTATCAAGGAAGGTGATCAGTTATGCTAAAGGCGTTCCATTGGCTTTGAAGGTTTTGGGTTCCTTTCTTTATGGCAAAAGCAAGGAAGAATGGGAGAGCCAACTTGAGAAGCTCAACAAAATGCCACATGCAAAGATTCAGGATGTGATGAGATTGAGTTATGATAAACTTGATAGGGAAGAGAAGAATATTTTCTTGTATATTGCTTGTTTCTTCAAAGGATATAAATCACGGCAAGTAATACTTTTTCTAAATGCTTGTGGTTTTTCAACAATTATTGGGTTAAAAGTCCTTGAAGACAAAGCTCTTATCACTGAAATCAAAGGATCCAACGCAGGAGCATCAAAAATCTTTATGCATGATTTGATAGAGGAAATGGGTTGGGAGATTGTTCGTGAAGAATCAATTCATGATCCTGGAAAACACAGTCGGTTATGGGATGCTAATGATATGTGTCGAGTATTGGAACATAATCTGGTAAAATTTTAACTTGATAATTGTATTCTCCCAAATTATCTTCTTGCTTTCCCCTTATATGCTTACTTTTGCTTTCCAGGGGACTAAAGCCATTCAAAGCATAACTTCGAATGTGACAAAAATTGAAGAGCTCTGCTTAACTCCCCAGGTCTTTGCCGAGATGTCTGAGCTAAAACTTCTTAGTTTTCCCCAGAATGATGTCAATGGACAAATCCTATGCCTTCCTTGTGGCCTTGAATCTTTGCCGTATGAACTGCGATTTCTTCATTGCGGTTGCTGTCCTTTAAAATCCTTACCTTCCACATTCCGTCCAGAAAGTCTCGTTGAACTTAACATGACTTGGAATCGTGTGGAAAAACTTTGGGATGGAGTTCTGGTACGTATCAATCTACATCATCATAAATAAACAAACATGGTATAGTTTTTCTTACAGTGTCTCTTGTGAAAAGAAAAGCTCATACAATGTCTGCTTCTTATGAATATTGCAGCGTCTTGTGAATTTGAAGAAGATTGACCTCAGTAACTCCAAGCATCTGTTGGAACTCCCAGATTTTTCTATGGCCAGAAACCTTCAAGAAGTTGTACTCTACAACTGTAAAAGCTTGCGTAAGGTTCATCCTTCTATTTTAACCATCCACAAGCTTGTGAATTTGAACCTATCGTATTGCAAATCACTTACCAGCCTTAGAAGTGATGTACATTTGAGATCCCTGAGTAGTCTTTCTCTTGGTGAATGCTCAAGGCTCAGGGAATTCTCAGTGACATCAGAGAATATGAGGAACTTGAGTTTGGCAGGCACAGCTATCAATGAATTGCCTTCATCCATCAGGCTTCTAAACAAACTTGAAACATTCGACTTACATCGTTGCAAAAAGCTTAAGAATCTTCCAAACAAGTCAGCTAACCTAAGTTCTCTTCGAGAACTTTGGATATATGGTTGCGTGCAGATTGATGCCTCGAATTTACGCTTCCTACTTGATGGCTCAAGATTCTTAGAAACATTGGTACTGCAAGATTGTCATAATTTATTTGAACTTCCAGACACCATCAGATTCTTATCCTCATTGAAACATTTATCCCTAAATGAAACTGATATTAAGAGGTTGCCTGCAAGCATCAAGCATCTTCCACAACTTGAAAAACTTGATTTGAGTAATTGTAGGAAGCTTCAGTCTTTGCCTCATCTTCCACTAACCGTTAAAGAACTATATCTCACTAACTGCACTTCCCTGGAGAGAGTCATGTTTTCTTCAATGGCTTCTGATCATCTGAAGGGAAAAATGAGATATAGCACTAGTTTCCAGAATTGCGTGAACTTGGATGCACATTCACTCAGAGCTATAGAAGTAAATTCTCATGTCAACATTAAGAGATTGGCCATTGAACATTTATCAACTCTAGAAAAAAGTAAGATCCTAGGTGGTCCAGTTGATGTCATTTATCCAGGAAGCAATGTTCCGGAGTGGTTCACTAACAGGACAAGGCAGTCATCAGTAACTATTGACTTATCTTCTGCTCCACCTTCCATGTTCGTGGGTTTCATTTTTTGTGTGGTTGTCTGTAAGTTTCCATCAGATGACAAGAACCTTGTCGGATGTGACTGCTACATGGAAATTAATGGTAAAAGAGACAAGAATATGGGTGCTTGGACTAGCATATCTGCTTGTGAATTTATGTCTGATCATGTATGTCTGTGGTATGATGAACGATGTTGTCTGAAAACTAATGAAAGCAAGGAGGAAGATGAAAGTAATCGCAAGAAAATATCATTTGAGTTCTTTGCACAAACTGGGGATATTTGGAAGAAGAGCAAGGATATTGTGATAAAAGAGTGTGGAGTCTGCCCCATATATGCCTCAGAATATGATAAATTCATTGAGCAAATGGAGTTGGAGTTGAAATCAGAGCTTAAAGCAATTGCAATAGGAGTTAGTGGAAGCTTTGATGAAAAGAAAATTGAGGAGACAGTCCCTTTTGTTAAAAAATCCAATCGATTTATCTTTCCTCCCCTTGCAAATGGAACTTGGAAGAAAGCAACACAAGGCTTAAAAGATCTCATCAAATTGTGACTACTTGAAAGGCATCAGACTCTAGACTCTTCTGAAGTTCTCTTTCTGTGAAGTTTTAAAGTGTATGACATGAGGTAATTTTCTTTTTGTTCTATTTAGATAGTGACAACCCATTCTTTGTGTAATACATAATACTTCGTAGATGTAAAGGGGACAAACTTCAGATGATGTATTCAGAAGACTCCCCGTTTTCACTTTGTCTCTCTTTTACCTTGACTTTGGATTCATTATGAACAACTTGGCTGTTATTCTTAAGCATTGAATAACACTCTTTAAAGTTCAGAATGGTAACAGAAACTTAGGATTGGAATTTCATTAATGACAGAGATCAAAAAGTTTGAGAATATATAAGGTTGCAGTGCATATGCATGGGGATCCTCTGAAGTTGAGGATCCCCTGCTTTCATTTCATTTTTTTAGCTTTTATTTAATAAGATGAAATTGAAACACAATAACATCAACTGAGGATGAAGTGATGACAAAGTAGACTTGTGCAAAATGAAAAAAAAAAAAAAAAAACTGCACACTGGTCCTCAATATGGGATCCTCTGCTATAAATGAAGGTGTGATATTTGCGCTTTGGGGAAACTGCTGCTGCGTGATTTGCGTTGTGAATGGAGTGACCAAACTACGAATAAAGGTAAAGTTTTCTCTGTTTGAGAAGGTTACAAACTTCAATGTCTCAGGTAGTGGGATATCCGATAACTTGTCTGCATCGCAACCTAGAAAACCCAATATCCCAAATTACATTCTCAAACTGGCTTGTTCTGTAAAAACATAAAAAAAAAAAAAAAAAAAGAAGAAGAAGAAGAAGAAAACAGGGTGTTAGTTAAATCAAAGTATCAAACACCCTTTGTGCCAAGAAAATTAGTTAAATCAAAGTATCAAACACCCTTTTGTGCCAAGAAAATCCTTTTTGACGGGGCAATAAAACAGCAGTCTCAGACCAAAATGAAATTGAACCGTGAAAACTGTATATAATAGTTTGAAGAGACGGAAAAATAATTAAGAAGTAGGTCGAGCTGACATGGATTTATATATCAGAGGCGTATATGGACGCAATTGTAATTACAGTATAATCACCTGTTTTAAAGATAAGCATGTTTTCATCATTTTTATGTTTCTGAATCGTTACTTCTTATTGTTTTTTAATCTTATACTACCTCCGGTCCTTAATATAAGACCCTGTTTGATTTTTATTTTGGTCCTAAATATAAGACCCCAATCCACTTTGTCTATTATACTTACTCAATTTTTTCCAAGATAAACCTTCTAATAATTATAGTTCTAGTTAATACACTTGATTAGCAAGGATATTTTGGGAAAGACAACACCTATTTAGGACAAATAACTAACTCAACTTACTTTCTTAATCTTCTCAAATTAGTCAACTGGCTCTTATAATTAGAACCGGAGGTAGTACAATCACATCTAAATATCTAAATTTATTACAGTACTTTAATGCATCTTTTTGTCTGTTACAACAAAAAGAAATTCAATAATATTATCTTTAACAGAGGCGGAGTAGTTGAATTTGTGACCAGTGTTTAACCTTTTAATTTGTTCCATTTTCTTAATTCCCGCCTAACTTCAGGTACGCTAATTGATTCCTTGTAGTCTAGTAGAATTAATCTTGGTGTTCCATTGTCGCTATTAAATTCCGTTCTTTATCAATATCTAATTCTTGCATCTTATATCAGAATTTTATTCATGTGGATCATATGCAGCATCCTAATTTTTTCTCTCTCAATCTGCTTAGTTGAATCCAATTCTTCAAGATCCAACAGAATGAAGTTGCGGCTGTAATAATATAATCGTCACTCTCTCATCATCTTAGCCTTAAACAATAAAGAAAGGTTAAAATAACCCATGCAATTTGGACTCCTCAAGAATAGAATTAAATCTCAATCAAAGAGGAGTCTTCAGTTAATTGTATGTACGCCAGTACAACGGAAAGAGTAACGTATCAAGGGCAGATCATTCAAAACTGAAAATCATTTATTCAAATTCAACGAAGTAAGCTGTGATATTTGCGCTTTCGAGACGGCGTTTGCATTGTATCAGAGCTAGGATGTGGATGCAATGGCAATCGAATTTGTTGAATGTAATTTTGATATTCAAGTAGTGCTGATGTGGGACATACCCCACACTCTTTGATCTCTCCTCTTATTAATGCAGCAACTGTGAATTGAATTTGAAGCAATGGGATATAAGTGTCGCTGTGAGCATCCCTTTTCTTCTCTTCAATTTTTCTTTGTAGTTCTCCACAAGAACATGCGTCGTACCAAATGACAACATGATCTGACAATAGAGGATCATAGATAAACCCACCTTCATACGTGCAAGCATATTGACCATCAATAAAGCATTTGGCGTCAACTGCTGCCATCGGTGGTGACTTCAAAATGACGACGCAGAAAATGAAACAGCCATCCCAAGGTTGTGGAATAGAACGGAGATCCACAGTTATGACAGATGACCGTATAGACCTATACATGAACCAATCTGGAACTCTTTCTCCTGGATATTCCACATAAGCCCCGCAACAAGTGGCTTTACTTATCTCGTGTACCACTTTTGCCTCGCAAGCTTTGATTGATTGTTGATCCAACTTCATGCAACTAGTGAAAGCAAAGCACAGTTTTGTTTGATCTTCTTTTTGTTCTCCATCTTCTCTCATTAAAGGTAACTGTAGGGACACAAGGGATAGGCAGTCCCTGGCAGATAGGTCTAAGATAGAGGGAGGTAGTTCTGGTAGGGACCGAAGCCTTTCGCATCTATTTACGTTAAGTTCTTTCAGGCTCGAAAGGTGTTTGATGCTTGAAGGCAATGTCTCTATATTACTCCTTGACAAACTTAACGTACGCAATGACGATAACAAGCTGATGTTATCAGGAACTTCAAATGATTCACTACAATCATTTAGATATAGAACTTCCAAAGCACGCATCTCATCAAATATGGAAAGTAGATTTGATGCTACCTTATTACATCCGTTAGCATCAAGACGTCCGAGGTTGCGCAAGTCAACCAATTTGTAGGGAAGACTTTTCACACTTTTGCATTCGTCTAGAAACAATGAACCAATTTTGCTGAGACGTCCACTTGATGAGCACAACTCGTCATTGATGGCCGTTCCCGAAAGTATCAATTCAAACCCACTGTTTTCTGAGGTCACTGAAAATTTGTTCAATCTTGAGCATTCTGTTAGGTCCAGATACTCTAGTGATTGGAGATGGGTATTGCTTGTAAGGTTGGTAAGGGCTTCACAACCTCTTAGTCTTAAATAACAAAGACTATTGAGGGATAAAATAGATGGATGAACACCCTGCAATTTTGAACAATCATTGAGATTCACTTCTGCAAGATGTATTGCCTTGGAAAAATTTGGGAGCTCAATCAAGTCTTTTGATCCATGGAGGTTAATTCCACGTAAATTCACGAGATTCTGTAAAAATATAGATTACATGGTGAGATTGGCAGCCAAATTAAAGCAAAAATGAATTATTCTCTCTGATCAGTGTGACATAAGAACTCGTTAAGTATTTTACTAGGAAAATTAGTTGACGTCAAAAAAATTACACTAAATCAATCATCTTTATAAATAAAGGTCATGGAGTTTAGTGTGATAGGGAAAGACAATTGCCATTTTTTAAAATGGGTTGTCAATGTTTCATTAAATTTTCTAAGAGATTTTGTATTAAGGACTTATGGGTAGAAACTTATAAATAAGGCTAAAAAGAGGCTCCAACAAAATAAAGATTTTCCAAATAGTGTACTAATAATATTTTCTACGAATAAAATATAAAATTTACCTGCACTCCATCCCAAAGTTTTGTCAAATTGCTATGAGGCATTATAATTTGAACAAGATTTTCAATCTCGAATTTTGCTGGCAAGGCCTTTAAAGGGTATCCCACCCAATGCAAGAGTCTGAGATTTTTTGGTAAAAACTCTATACCACAGGGAAAGTTTAACTTGTTCCTGAACTGATAATCCAAATTTCTATCAAAACAAGAAACTTTAGATTGGGCATTGAACGGAAAGCGTTTTTATTGAAGCACATCTCTTCAACTTCGGAAAGGTTCAGAATTATGCCTTCGGTAGCTGCACTTCCCTAACCAAAAAAAATAAAAATAATAATAATAATAATAATAATAATAATAATAATAATAAAATAATAGTAATAAAATTATTATATAAATCAGATAGGAATTTGAAATTCAACAATTTTTTTTAAAATGCAAAAATTTCACTCTTACCATGTTTTTCTTCACTATGTCAGAATTTTTCTTGGAAATCCATAATATATTGCACCTTTTAGGATCATTTAACGATTCTTCACGAATAATTTGTTGACCCATTTCTTTTATCAAATGGTGCATACATATTTTTCTTTCATGAATTTCTCCTGATATTCTTCTTTCATGAATTTCTAAAAGAGCTTTATCTTCAAGTCTCATCAATCCAATCTCAGTTGAATAACCACATGCATCTAACAAATTTTTTATATCTTCAGCATCACAATAATTGAGGAGACATGAGATATGCAAGAAAATACTTTTCTCTTCAGAATCAAGTTCTTCAAGACTCAATTTGAGGATATCATTAATTTTTGGACAAGGTAATTTTGTAAGCTTTTCCAATTGGCTCTGCCATGCTTCTTGATTTTTGCCATACAAAAAGGAACCTAAAACTTTTAAGGCCAATGGATTTCCACCTCCATAGTGAGTAATTTTTTCTACCAGCTCTCGTATCTTTGGATCACCATCATAGTGTTTTTTGAAGGCATTTAAGGAGAAAAGTTGAAAAGCCTCATCAGAATTCAAAGCCTCAAGCTGATATATATCATCTACTTCCTTACCAAAAACTTGCTTATCTCTGGTTGTTATCAATATTTTACTACCTGGTCCAAACCAATCATGTTTTCCTGCTAATTTTTCTAATTGTTCAAGATCATCAACATCATCAAGAACAACGAAACTTTTTTTGCGGCTAAGTCTCCTCATGGCATAAGAAGATATTGCACCATCAACCATGTCAATGTGAGATTCTTTATCCCCTAATAACTTCAAAATGAGCTTTTCCCTCAGAGCATCTATTCCACATTTCTTTGATTCTTCCCTTACATTAGCCAAAAAGTAAGACCCTTCATATCCAAAACGCAATTTGCTAAACAATGCTTTTGCAAGAGTCGTTTTGCCCATACCACCCATAGCCCAAATGCCAATAAATCGCACATCATCATTTGAATCTTTTTCTAACAATGATTCTACATCTGCCATTCTTTTCTGAATTCCGATCAAATCTTTTAGATAATCTTCACTTTGATAATTACAGCCTAACTTGTGTATAACACATTTCACTATTTCTTTAATTAGCTCCGCTTCATCCCTGCACACCATTACAAAATCAAAATTCAAAACGCACCAAACTTAATACCGCATTGATTGTCTATTCAAATTTTTGAACTATTCCTAATGAAAGGCAACTTTGAAGAGTTGGCAAAAAAAATTCTATAATAATTTTTTTGAGAAATATTACTAACATTAGATGGCTTAAACTAGATATATAAAGTTTCATCTTCATTTCATGACCATTAATGATTCGTTACGACAATAGTAAGACAGGGATTCAGATAAAAATATCGCAACAGTAAAGTTGATGGGCCTGGTAGACTAACCAACTTCCATCAGATGCCTCAAAAATTAATTTAATTCAGCCCCATGTATGGAAGAACATGATAAGAGAAAGATCAAAAGCACATTAATTGTTACCTATCGAAGCTACAATGCCAACCAGATAAATTGGCAGCATGAGTGAGAGCCTTCCTCCACATGTGTAGATGTTGGTTGTTGATGCTTTTAAGCTCATGTTCTTCAAATGCTTTCTGGTAACTCCCAGACTGCTTCCTCACATGTGAAGGATCTACTCTATAGAACACTGGCATAACAAGCTGGTGACCTTGATTTTTGGAGCAGTCTAATATTTTTGAAAGCTCCTTCAAGGTCCACGTGGAAGATGCATAGTTTTTTGAGAAGATCACAAGGAAGAGAGTTGAATCTTCGATGGCTTTCTCAAGAGATGGCCATACCTCATCTCCTTTCTCAAGTCTGTAGTCGATGTATGTATCTACATGGTTTCTACGAAGTGCTTCATGAAGGTGGCTAGTGAAATTGAAGCGGGTGTCCTCACCTCTAAAGCTAATAAAAACATCATATTTCTTTGGAGATTGAGAAGATGGAGTAGAGGAAGAAGACGAAGCCATATCAGATTGCTTTGCTTTGATACGCAAAAGAGAATTGGGACTGCTTTCAATTCAGATCTAAGTATTGAATGATTTGTAATAGGAAACAGAGCGGCCTAAGGGGAAGATAAGATTTTAGTGGAGGAGATTGGGTCAACCAAGTCAAAATGAATAATAATAATTATAAATTATAAATAAAAGTAAAGTTAACTTTTAAAGATTGAGTATGTGTTTGGATTAACAGCAGAGAAGTAACTTTTTTTTTTTAAATAAAAGTTAGATAGTGTAATATGATTTATATTTAGATTAGTTTTTTTTTAAATCTGACTTTTGAAAACTTGTTTAGATAATTATTCGAAAAGTAAATTTAGATGAACATGACTGAAAAGGATATAAATCTTATTCGATAATACATATACTCCTCTGGTCCTTAATGAAATATCAATTTACCTAATTTGAAAAGATTAAAAAACTAAATAAATTATTTAATTATAATATACATGACAGGATCTTTCTAAAATATTTTTGTGTAACTGTATCAGTTTAAAAGTTCAGCAAATTAGTTTGAGAAAAAATTATAAATGTGAAACATAAAATGAAAAACATCTCTCATTGAGGATCAAAATCCACTTTCAAATTAGGCCTTATATTTAAAACTGGATAAGTATATTATATGTATATATTGTGATGTTTAAGAGAAATATTAAAATTTAAATTATAAAAAATAAACATTTTAAAAGAGCATTAAGTATGGTCACAGTACACATCAATCCAAATCATGGACAAAAGCTGGAAATTTCAGCTTACAATTTAAGCTGCTTTTATTCCAAAAGTTAAATAGGCAAAAAAAGAAGAAGAAGAAAAGCTTATTCAAACATGTCAAAATCCTCCAACGTACGTTTTCCCCTTTTGAATGTGTGATTAGCCACCAAATCGCTGTTCCAAACGAAGCCTCTCAAATTTGAAAGAAAGGCGGTCCTACCAATTTGGAATTTTCATGTGCTATTAGTGTGCGGAAAGACAGCACTAAATGAAAAACATATAATAGTCCATAGGGAAAGTAAGTCAATGGCGTGTGAAATTGAAGCGGGTGTCCCCACCGCTAGAGCTAATGAAAACATCGCATTTCTTTAGCAATTAACTTTTACAAAAGTTAAATAAATTAGATTAAAATTAGATAGTGTAATATAATTTATATTTAAATTAGTTTTTAAAAAAATCATTTTGATAAAAATTTGTTTAAATGAAGATTTAAAATAAAGAAAAAAGAAGTGAAAATGAAGAAGTTAAAAATTAAAAGCGAGAAGCAATTACATCTTACAACAAAAGTATGAGATTGATTAAGTCCATCAAAGTTAATTAATGCAGAGAAATCGGGCGATGCTAGAGTTTGATCTACTGAAAAATTTCTTCTCCTCTCTCTATTTCTCACCTACATCTCCAAACAAAAACATGAAGCTCTCACTAGTAAAAATAGCTTTAATCAGTGTCTTTGTGAAGTGTGTTTGGGAACTACGATATTAATTGACAGGGCCGGCCACGTGTAAATAACCCTAATTTCTACCAGAGACTGATTGATTTAAGCTGGATAAGCTTCCAGAATTACATTGCCCCAAATTACCTAAAAACCCTTGGTATTATTATACACGTATGTTAACGTGAACATCGCTGCACATCAAAACTTCGTTTGCGATATTAATGGGTGTTGTTGGCCATTGTCATTGCGAAGTTCTGTTGCATATTCAAACGATATGTGAAACTGATAATATTTTGGAAATGATTTGAAAGGTTTACAAGTTTTTTCTTTTATATTATCAATAATAATAGAAATAAGTTAAAAGTTGCCAGCCACATTTTATTCCTGATTCTTGAAGCTGCTAATTTATCTGGATTTCATTCATCAAAGTGTGGGTAATTTCTTCTCTTTGCCAAGTTTACCTTCTACATTCAACTCAAGAAATGAGAAGTTCTTAAGGAGAAAACACAAAATCTTCTTCATTTTCTTCAACACACAATCTTTTCATTTCTTCCTAATAATATCACTTAATAACAAGTTAATCGACGTGGAAATTTCACTAGTATTCGTCAGTCAGATCGCTTATCAAATGGCCTTGTTGCAGTATGGTTATCATAATCAATATTAATTTATCAATAATCAACAAATGCTACTGAAAGTTATACTGTTCATGAAACTGTAAAACATTGTGGCTTCTCATTTCAGTGAAATGCAAGGGCTGAGATCTATTTATATCCAGACAACTAATTCCAATAATAGTGCGAATGCCAGTTACCTTTTGAGTTCTCCATTCACTCCCAAGTTCCCGTCCATAGGACCTATTTTACAAACGTAGCTGCACAGAACTATTTCTGCTAATCTGAGGGCAATATTACTAGATTTTTTCAAATAACAGGAGGGAATAGAGAATTTAATTCAACTAATAATCTAAATTTGAACCTCAAAGCATGCACCTTACATCCTGGCAAGAGGCAAGTACTAGTTGGAACCAGAGAAAAGGAAAATTCACATTATACTATGCGTCCCCTGTGCTACTAAATATATAGATATATATATATATATCTGAGTATTTACTCATCAGGTTCAGAAAAATTCAATGCCTATACAGTTAAGGGAAATGGTTTACTTGGTGGGGAAGAATCTCATAACATCACGACTAATTTACTAAGGGAATGGCTAATGTTCAAAATAGGACAGCTTAAAAGCTTATATTGTAAGACGCATGCAAGTAATGGGCTGCACTATAACTAAGACGCCCAAAGACTAGAACCAATGAATATACTTAAAATTGCACGATGAGGAGCAAAACGCAAACCCAGAAGCAGGAGAAAATTGGGTATAAGTAAAAGGCCGGCTGTAAACAGTTCATCTCCCAATTCTTTCTCGTGTTTACTTTCTATCCATACAGGAAAAGATCGATGCAAATAAAATGATGGCTAAAGAATTTAAAGGCAGTAAAAATGGAATCCATTCTAGGAAGTCAACGCAATACAGAATGAGGAGTGAATGGATTCATAAAATGATATGAAGCGATTCCTTTATTATTAATAAAGGAAACTTTTCAAGAATAACAGACACCTAGCATCACTTTCAAAATGACCACACTTGGAAAGGTTGAAGTATGCAGGAAACTATGAATAAATAGTTTAACAACATTGAGAAAAAGAATCTAATTGAAGTATTCCATGACAAGAAACTAATTGCGGGGATCCAAAGAAATGGAGAGTTGTAGATTAACCATGGGGAGTGAACAAATTGATATAAAGTAAAACCCTTTCCCCAAAACTCAATTCCTTAATCCTTATAGGGAAATTTAATCTCCCGTTAGAATTGCAACATTTCAAGATTTGCCATTCATGAAATATTGTAATGTAATATATATACCTTTATGGCCCCCGTAATGATAAGCTGTGTCCCTAAAACTGGTCTCATAAACCGCCTTAGCTGAGTCTTTTTGTTGGCTGAAGATGCTTCCAAGGCTAAGGCTTTCAGATCTTTTCCACAGCCTCACCTACACTGTTTCAAAATTTAAACTATCATGAGTGAAACCGACAAAAAAAACTAATCTAAAACTTGAACGCTATCACAGACATCTAAACATACATTGTCGGAGAAGATAAAAACAAAGAGATTAAGCCAGCATTGTCAAAGAAGTAGTGGGGAATTGAAATCTAGACCATACGTACCTGAAGACCAACATAGCAAAAGCGAAGGTTCGGTGAAGCATTAACATTTGAAATCTGGTCGGAATTCACGCTAAAGATGAGGCACAATTTCACCTTGCTCGCCTGATTTACATTCGCAGATTTCAACCAGAAAGAAGCAAGACTGAAGAAGAAAAGAAGTCAAGAAAACAAGAGACGATGAAGCAACAAAAACTACACATGACAACCCACGTTCCATAGCTCCACTACCAAAGCATGCACATATATAACCGCACACAACTCACGGCTGCCAATATGGCCTAAGAAGGTGCACCACGCTTAAAACTACGTGCCGCCAGGAACC